ATCACGTGCGGATAGCGCAAAGTATGTCAACGAATATTTATTCACGGCACGTGTCTTTTCAATTACTTTCGATTATTTTCGATTATGATTGTGAGGGAAGGGCTTTTAATCCAAGCCCCTTCTTATATATCTCCCTCTCATACTCATGTTTTGGTTTTAAACCCGCTTCCTTTCTTGACTCTTTCCTCTTCATTGTATTATTTTTGCTAAAGATTGTATGATCCTGCTGCTATTTCTACCTTTTACCATATCATTATTTCTTCTTCATAAAATTATTTATGTGACTTTAAGTTTGTCGTTCAGATTCTGCGCCCGAGGAAGAAATCATAACTTTACATTTCAAGCTCGAAAATTGTTATTAGCTCCCCCTTTTTTTTTCTATTATACTCTTTCTAAACGTGATCCATTGTCCTTCGATACCCAACGACAAAAAATAGCCGAACCGAAAAATTCTTCTGTTTGGGCATATTGTGGTTAGGGTTCGATTACATTTTTAAAAGGCAGTGCAAAAGATGTCGGATGACCATTTCAATTATGTGAAAGTGGACCCCACTGTTTACAAGCCAATGTTTCATAAGGTGCACTTAAACTGTAACTCAAGCAAGTCACGTCTTAAGATAAAGGCTTTCGCAGAGAGTATAGACAAGATAAACCTACAAATGTCTAGAAACATGTTGAATATCCAGGCATGGTATAGCCCCCCCCCCCCACCCAAAAAAAAAGGAGAAAAGGAAATGATAGGAAGAGGCAAAAGCAAAAGAGGATGACACTCCTTCCACCCCCTCCCGGACTTGTTCATTTGTATTTAATACAATAAGAGCAACGTGCCCCTCAGTGCCCCCCTCACTGACTAGACCAAGGCCCCCTCCCATCGTTTCTAGGTATTTCCATTTCGCCTAACCTTGTAGTTGAAAAAAAACCAAAGTATCATCTTTAAAATTGAGTATTTGTAAGTCATCCACTTTTTTTTGTAATTCTTGACCTCCTCCAACCCATCCAACCCCTCCGACCTCTTCATGATTGCACTATTGTACTTTCCGTAATATGTACCTTTCCTGGATGGATATTCAACTTGTCTTCCCAAATCTTGTCTTTCTTCTACGTCTGGTTTTATTATCTCGCGTAAGCAATACAAACAAATCAAATCAGATTGTACACGATTTAGTTTTGTTGGTATATATATTATACTTCGTTTGCGCATCGACAATGTTATTCCTTTATTACAAAAATGATAAATAAGTGGTAAATTTAGACTAAATGTTTAAAAAAAGATAGAAAGTTAGGAACCGTGAATAAAATGTCATAAAAGTCGATACATTGATCTCTCTATGTATTAGCTTTATCATCTTCTTTGTTTTTCAATTTCCTTTTACACTAATTGTGATTATGATCAATACGTTATTATACTGCTTAACTTATTCATATCAATGAATATTATGATTTATTTGTTACATAGTCATTATATGTATCAATTATACTGAATAAATACGGTATTCACAGGAATGTCGAGTTATTAGGGTCAGTGGATGACTATACATGTTGTTAAAGATGCCAATGATTCATGAAATGATAAGTAGGCCTAATTTATTAATCAAACCATGAAGTTTTTCTAACCGAGTTTGTATTTCCATGACATTGGTAAGGGGTTCGAATCCCTGTTAAAGCACTAACGCCCTTTGAAAAACATATTAATCTTCATCTGCCACACTGCATCCAGGTGAGGTAAATGGGTATCTGGTAGAAGCATGTCTGACTCTGCGCTGGTCGTGCTGATAACGGGTACAGCTGGAATAATTTCCAAAGCTCTTAGGAAGCCGAAAGAGACTTTACATCAAAATCGTCTTTTTCTTCACCCTCTCTCTCTCTCTCTCTCTCTCTCTTACTCCTCTCTCTTTTCACATATCTTCCCTCCTCTCTCTCTCGCTCTATCCCATTCATGTTAATATTTATATTTCTATTATTATTATTATTATTACTTTTATTATTATCAAAAATTTTATTATCATTATTATTATGATTATTTGTATACTTATTATTATTATTATTATTATCATCATAATTATTATTATCATTTATTGTTAGAATGGTTTTGTTGAGAACGAATTTTAGAAGTCCATGGTATATTAAAGGTACATCCAAAACCGCATAAGCATTGTGCCATAATACGCAAACTCTATACGCAATCACCTTTCTACCGTTTGCAAAATCAAAAGATATCGCTAGAGAAAAAGTCATCGGGGAATAAAAAATATATACAATTTAGGTCGCGTTGATTAGTTTACGATAAAATACCTGGAGGTACATTTATAAACGAATTATCTTGATATTCGGTTCTGGATTCCGTATCCAGTTCAAAACAGGGCTTTGGTTTTACTGCCTTAATTCGGTGTTGGGTATTGAAATAAATAGGGATTGCTTTGGGGTTGATTACTAGCTGACTAGCTGAGCCCTAGACATCATTTCACAATCGAAAGATAAATCGCTGGCAGACTCAGTGATATGTGCATAGTAATTGATGAATATTTGCAGATTGATCAATTGATTTTTGTATGTTTTACTTGTATGATAAAGCCACTTATAAAGAATAAAATACTCTTATCATTCATGAGAGCAGTAATCAATTTGTAATTACAAAAAAAATGAAAGAAATGAACAAAATGATCTTACTCGAAAGTCGTATTTCTGCAATAATTACCCACCCATGAATTAGTTATGTATTTTTGTTTAAACAACAGTGGTTTATTTGATGGTTTGAATATAGAGTTTTTACTAGTGATAATTCAAAGCGTCTGCAAAAGGCGGAGAAACTTTTTGTCAAAATGTCATTTTTATCGTGGAATATATAAGGCTCATGACATTAGCGGTAAATAAATACACTTAAAAGCAAGACCATACCCCATTAAAATGTTTACATTTAGGTCAGTAGTAATTAACTGTTCTTTCTCTCAATCTTTTAGTTTCGTGTAGTATACAAAAATATTACATTGTTAATAGTTAATTATTGAGCCGATATAACTCATGTTTATGATTACAAAGACAAAATATAATAAATCAAACCAAGTTAAATCAAGATAGTGCAAGTAAATAAAATCATTATAAGACTTTGTTTGCTTAGCTACCACAGTATTAATCACTTACTGGATATTATGGCATTGTATTAGTACATCCCACGTAGGACAGTAAAGTTTTCTCTTTGTGAGCAAGAATTTTGACCAAAAAATGGTAAACGATGAGGAACTAATGGGTATGATTTTGTATATGCCAAGTGTGATTTGTGTAGAAGAAAGACTTCTTCCCTTTTAAATGCTATCATAAACTAAGAAAAAAACTTTTTAAGTAGGCCTATTTATTACAGAAAACAATTACAGTCATTTCAGATACAATTCTGACATTTAAAAGAATAGAAAACTATCCTTAATAAATGTTATCAAAATTATACGGATATGTACAGTAACCTTTTAAAAAGTACATTGGCAATTAAACAGAACGGAAGAATTTAGACCTGTTTCTCGTTCAAACATGACCGTCCTTGATAAGATATAAACAAGAATAAAGACATGAACATTTTTTGAGAAAACAAAAACGATTACCCAGCAGGACACACACGCATGCACAGTTTAGTTTCAGATGCCATCTTAACATTTCAAAGATATTCATCGGAAAGAAAAACAGAACAAGAAATTTAAGCATTTACGTGGTCATCCACAGAAAGGAACAAACGAGTATCAGGAAATGTACGTTTAACCTATACGTCTATCTATTTGCTAAAGAAATGAATTATTCAGTTGTACCTAATAGACGCAATCAATATCTTTAAAAGGATACCATCCTCAGAATGAGGTATATTGACAAGTTAAAAAGTCGACAAATGATAAACATGATAGCCTGAGGCTGGACAGCAAAAGAAACCCTCCTACGTGCGGTAAAGTGAGAGGAGTATGCTCTAATCCGCTGTTCATTTCGACTTTCCTTTTATATCTTGGAAGAAAAACCGCCGTCCTCAGAACACTTCTTGATCCCCTGAGAGGAAATCATGCGATGTAAGACAAGCAACATCCCCATCTTAATTATTTAAGGAGAATTCGATGGTAAATACCATCATTATTGTCTCGAGAGCGTGATAAAGATGCAGAGATTCGTTCAAAATCGTGATTAGATTTGTAGATTATAATCTGTCTTTTAAATCGTGAAAATCTGGAACTGCCGTTGTCTCTCTGTTTTTTTTTTTTTACTTCTAAAATAGACGTCGGAGAAGCAATTGTATAAGGAGCATAATGTCAATGGTGTAAAAAGTCTTGAAGGGCAATGCAACATTTGTGATATGTTCGTGTGTATGAAAGCAGAATCAAAAGAGAATTGGAATGGTAACAGTTTGAAAAGATCAGATTAATAATAAGACAGTAATGTTATTTCAGATCAGATTTCAGATCTCAGATTAATTTTATTGATCCATTTGGAAAGTGGTATGCTATGGAATGTAATAAGCTAAAAGGCACAGCCTTTGAAGCCGAAGTGACTTATATCGTGATAAAATGAACAAATGAAAATGAGAGGACAATAGCCAATAAGTATTGATATTATTACATAATTATCAATGACATTATGACTCTCGAACTTTCGACGCCCTTCGTTTTCTTTCGGAACAAACAAAAACACGATGTTGATATGTGATAAATCAATCATTGCCGAAAATATGTTGGCACCTATCACCCCCCCCCCCCCCTCAACCACGGATACAAATCGACACCCCTGATTGTCAGAAATAAGCTCTAGGAGACACATCCTAAAATTCTTTACCTGTTGATAGTTCAGATGGTTCAGACATCTTCTTCAGACGTGTAATGAACATGCTGAAGTTAGTTGCCAGTTTTCCGATTGCCAAAAGATGCCGTTGTAATAATTAAAACCGTCCCGATTAACTTGAGCAAGATGCATTATCATTCCATTACAATACTAGAAATACAAATATAGTAAAAGAAATCAGGACATATTTAGCTCACCTCACAATTTTCAACAATCTATAGCGATGGTGTTCTGTAGGAGAATACTCCTTCGTCTCGCAACACTAGATGTTTGTTTAAATAGCTTCGTTTGCCATCGTCCTAGCCACAACATGCAGAAAATCCGCTCACGTTTTAAGTGAGTATGTTTCTATCTTCTTTTAGTCCGGGATGTAGCTTATCTGCACGATCTTCAGACTGGCTTTTCTTTTCAATAATTAAAAAATGGACATAATTGTGGTTGTTGTTGTTGCTCTGCAGTGTGCTAAATTCGCATGGGCCATCTGAGAACATAAATAGTAATCGGTAGTTCGCAATCAATATCGACCGATGCTTTTATTTCAAAATGTACTTTCAAACAACCCTGCTCGGGGAATGTTGTTTTCCACTTCGGGTGAATGTACTGTTCGAGATGTATAGCAATGTGCTACAATGCGACCCGAAACAGTCTAGACAATGATGTACTAAACTCAACAGACAGTAAACACTGACACGACTTTAAAAGCAGCCGATGTGTCCTTTAGACGGAATGAATGCTATTGTTCCTTCATGAATAACATAACAAGGTCTTCTTATCGATTACAAGAAGTTTAACGTGGGTGATACCACCAATTAGTTTTTGAAAGAAAACTTCGACGAGCATGGGTACCCCCTAGATGTCAAGCGGAAAGACACAATGGAAAGGAATCCGTAATTAAAAATGTTTGTTTGAGGTAATGTTTAAAGGTATCTGGTAACTTTGTCTTAGATCCTTAAAAAATCCTTGATTTAGCTCATACTACAATGATAATTATAAACCTTTAGGTCAGTCAGGAACCCCATGACTTTTACAAGCCGATCGCCCGTCTGACTATGAAGATATTTATGATTGAAAATCGAAATCAAATTTGCGTTTGCCAAACGGTTTTCATTACACTACAGTCTATTTGGGAAAACGAGTATGCATCTCAGATTTAACGATGTTAAACGATCCCTTTAACTGGAATCAATCTTTGTGTATTGTGACATCGAAGAGTACAAAGGAATAAATCCTGAAATTAATTTAAATGTCGTTTACCACGATTTAGGGATCTGCCAATGACAAAAGAATGCACTTATCATCCAAGCGCTAAAAGCTCACTTCTGTCAACATGGCTTGACGAGAATAACATTGAGTAATTTTACGGCTGTTACTCAGAATTGCACGCCCCATTTACCACGCTTAGGAATTAAATTGAATTGAATGTATTTTTCTGCAACATACAAATCAAATTACATTTCAGCGATTCAACATATACAAAATATAACCATTTTGTTAACGTTCACATACTATAATAATAATTATAAATGTTGACATCAAAACAAAGTGTAAGTGATGACACACTATACCCACAATTATTCATGGAGAAATCTGCAGAAGAGGACACAATTACACGATAGTGTGAGACGGGGTAGGGGAGGAAATACGGAAAGACGGAATGCAATACATTTTCTGCAAATATTGCACAATCGTCAATAACCAGTCTCTGCCAACTATCAGTCATTTTTCTTTTAGTCGAGAAAAATATGTGTATCTTTACTTCATGTACTATAAATCATTAATGTAATTTCGGGATTTAACTGGGTGCTTTTTTTCGGAAGTACATATTTATGGCAGGCAATTTGACTGATTTTGTATTTATTGTCGTTCTTATAGAGACAAGAGTTCTTTCTTACATGCGCTCATAACATGTTGTTTGTCAAGTTTGGCTTGTTATTTCCGGTACAATTGACGGCATACCCACCATATCCCACTCACTCACCTACCCACGCACATACTAATTTATTTCTTTTTTTAACACTCCAATTATTAATTACCTTCCTTTTTATTTACTTCAATTGAGAAATACGAAATGAAGAACCATACAATGTCATCGCCAGGGGCGTACGCAGGATTTTTTCAAGGGGGGGGGTTTAAAATATTTTGCTCCCGAAAATTTGAAAATCGCGCCGGCCGAAAAGTCGCTCAGTGGGGGGGGGGGTAAGCGGACACTTTTTTTTTTTTTTTTTTTTAATAAAAAAAAAGAAAAAAAAAGCCAAAGCCAAAGGGGGGGGGGTTTTAGGTTTTTAAATGGGGGTTTACATAAATGAAAATACCAAAGGGGGGGGTTTGAACCCCCAAAACACCCCCCTGCGTACGCCCCTGGTCATCGCAAAGAATAAAATATTTAAGCATAATTCGCCGAGGTAAGAACTAATGACTATCATTATTGATCGTTTAGTTTTTATTAAAACAACTCTCTAGGCACTCACTGAAATGAAATCATATATTTTTTTTCAAATGTCTCTAATATTTATTCTCAAAGGTTTATGTTACAATTCAAACGTATCTCGCGTTATCTGAGATTTTTCTACGTATGAAGCAACCACAAGTACTTGTTATAAACCACATATAATTTCATCAGTCATGGAATTACACCGTATGCAACTATCGGTAAAACATCTAATAAAGTTAGGTATCCTTACATCGAATAATTATTCTTTGTCAAAACGAATTATGATAATTTAACCATTTAACGATTTTTATTGCAACTTAATGAGACATAAAAAATGTCATCTATCTATAACTCTGAGCGAAGATACTTATTTTAATCATTTATCCTACACTGTATCGCTATGTTTCGAACCAAGCCCTATAAAAACGTCTTGAACTTTTTGAAAAATAGGCTAAAAGAACCTGTCTTTACAACTACTTTATTACCTTGTATTGAATCATGTTTTCTGAAAATTCTAAGAATTCCAGGATTGCTAAAATACCTAATTTTTTATGAATCCCTTGAAAAGTGCTGAAAATCACTGAAAAAAAGTATAAATGTAAGTCTTTTAAAGACACTTTTAGAACATTGCTTACTTGTTTTGTATCTGTCTTGTTTAAAGCCGTACTTTCTGTCACTCGAATATATTTTACACTTATAAATAAATCTTACGATACATCGTAAGATCAGTCATGATACATAGAGTTAAACGGTGCTCCTGTCCAAAACTTTGTTCGCCGACTTGGAGTGTTATACAGTGCGTCCCAGAAAAAACGAAACCGAGAATTATCGATGTTTTATAATAACTTAGTCACATCGATATATGAAACATATTAATCGATATATGAAACATATTATGAAAGCTTAGATCCTCCTCTTTCATTTTATCAAGCTCATATGATGCATATTTAACGCATGGGTGATTAAAATGAATTTGAAGAGAGGAAACCAAAAAGTAATTTGACGGACGGTATCTGAATTTGAAAGAGAAAATCACATTTCTAGAAAGCTGAGTTTCTGCCCTTTCATTTGACACCTCAGTCAGGAAATATGAGCTAGGAATAACAAAGTTTTGTTTGTTTAAAGTAGTGCTTGCATTTCCATAATTTTATCAAACGAATGCGTTTTCATTGGCTGCCTGCTATAGCAACAAACGGAATCGACAAAAGACTTAACTCCGTTTAGTTGACAATCAGCCATGCATGATATGAGGAAAGCACCTTAACGCACCTCAACGCTCGGTCGACGATCATGTTAACTCAGTTGTTGCGGGAATTAGCACATGAAAGAGTAACCACATTGTTTTAAATCTAAAAAAATGCACATGAGGGGAAATCACTCAAGCAAGCGACCCAAACTTCATGAACAGTGGGGTAGCTACAGTGGGGCACGGGGGCACGAGCAAAGCGAGAAAAGGGAGGAGAAGGGAAATACGGAAAAGAAGACGCCTGGGCCACCTTCCACCCCCTCCCTAATCAGAGTATTAATATTTATTTTCCGAGGAAGACCACACCCCCCCCTATCTCTCTCTCTCTCTCTCTCTCTCTCAATTGAAGGACTCTTACGTCGCCTCTGCTTATCATTCCACCGAAGATGTTTCGACCGAGGCGTCAAGGTTATGCTGTATAATGAGCGCCAATTAACGCGAATCCATCTGGTCACTCGCATCGACCATCAATCCCAACATGACTGGGGGATGACTTGTCGAGCAAAAAAGGTAGTAGGTATGTTGCATTCAAATTTTGAAAATGTAGTCAGAACCATTTGAAGGTAAAATGCTTGAAGGAATCTAACGAAATTGGATATTGCCCTTTCTACATTAACATTATTGTAATCGTGATATTTTTTAAGCAACTATATAACGCATGGCTGCAGATGGGTCTACCTGGAATGTAAAGACATCAATGTCATTCGTATTATTTTGAACGCGTACTGTCAGTTAAAAACTCTCCTGAAAATCGTTCACTGTCCCATAAATATCCTGCTGTGATCGTGAATGGATGTGATTTGTTATTAACTAAAAAATCTTTTATCTCCGGATTTCATTTAGCTAATTGACAGCCGCGTTTTGATGGCATCTAGCCCCGATTATCAATATACATCTTCACCACGTTGCCTCTCGTGAAAGGCAGCCTTACTATATTGAACTGCATAAAGTCTACTTGAATGAATGTGTTGTTGATTTCTCCTCGAGCTGTTTATTCCAATCTAAAATCGTAATAGTCGTGAGGCCATGTATTATCTCACTTTTTTTTTGAAGCGTTTTCTTTGGCAAGTAAGTGAACCCAGCATATACCGAATATCCGACGCCCGCCAAATCAGAAAGTCGTAAAACAGGAATCTCTGCGGAATTCTAATCGCCGAGAAGGGTACGCGCGGGTATTGGAATAGATTCTGGAAACCCCTTTGGTGTTTATCTTTGTTTTATTGAAAAACATCGCTTGGTAATCGGTGTAATGATCGAGAATTCCGGATATGTTGTTTGATAGCTGTTTAGGAATGGGAATGGGCGCTAAGGGCGAAATGTGATGCTGACAAGAGTTACTTATGAGGTTCACGCCCAGAGACCAAGTGTAATTGGAAAGATGGGGAACAGAAGGGGTGCAAATGGTGGAGAAGAGTAGGATGATATTAGAGAAGGAGGGAAGAGGAGGCCGGACATGTAAAAAGGAAGGGGACAAATAAGATATAGAAGAAGAGGGTGTGAAGAAAATGAAGAAGTCAGGGGGTAATATCAAGTAGGAGAAGAGGTTACAGAAACATGAAATAGAAAATAAAAGTAGTGTGAAAAAGCGTACATGATTACTTTTTTTCTTGTTAACATGCTTGAAATTCACCATGGCTGTTGCATAATCATGAAGCTTAGCGCAGCTTAGCAGACATTGCAGTTAAAAATGAAGTTTATTTGGTAAAGCCGGGAACATAATATCCACAATCCTCGGAAGCGCTTACTAGAGACGTTATATCATAATGTGATATGCGTTATACAAGAAGGGCATATTATTATTATTGTTCCATATTTACATCCAAAACAATTCAGATTTATACAAACTAAAGATTACAAAGCATAACAGGCATACAACGTAAATGAGGTATAGTTTACGGTAAATAGGAAAAAGTTTCGAGCGAAAAGTAGATAGAACAGTAAATTTTTTTTTTTAAAGAAGCTTGCACACGATCAAGCTCAAGTAAAGAG